TACTATTGGTATTCAAAATCGATAAATGATAATTCAAAGTTTTTAAGACATGAATGATACGTATTGATAACAGATACTGTAATAGGAAATAAATATAGACCTACAGTACGTACACAATAAGATGTTTATTTACATTTTAAAAATCTATTAATTACATAGTAAGTAAACAAATCCACCAACTTGGTTTGCACACGTTCGAAAGACTTAACATGTATTACATTATGAGCAGGCATATTATTGCACTACTTTAAATCCTAGTACCATTTTTGGGTATGTACAGATTTTTTTTAAATTCGGAGATACTCCCCGTGTATCCTATATCGATATCCGACAATGATTATATGTATTCTTGTTTATTAGCATAGTGTAACGATACCGTTGTTCTAAACATGTTCGGGATTTTCGTTATTACAAACAAAATTGTCATGGTTTCAATATTATCACATTTGTTACTTTTTATTCAATTAATGCTCATTTACAAATTTGGTTCGTCAGATGAATAAATAATAACTGCGTGAATAACATCCATCTTTTCGTTTATCATAAATATCGTTCTACTGTAAATCAAATGATAAGTTACTGTAGTAACAGAGAAAAATTTTACATAAATTCTATTATAAAAAATCAGTTCAGTGTATCTTTAATTTTTTGCATCAATCAATTTTTCCAGATAATTTTTTCTAAATTAATTTAATCAAATTTGATTTGATTCTATGATTTTTTTTTTTAAATTTATACGTATAAGCGGAAAAATAAATCAATTGGGAATAGTTTCTTGCAATGAATTCGGAATAAAATCGGGTATCCCGAAAGATCTGCGTACAGTACGTACAGTACGTACTGTACGTACTGTACGTGCAATTATCATAGCAGATCTGATATTTAATGTAACCATTCCGGGTTATATCAAAAACGCGAGAAAAAGTAAAATTTTAAATAATTAAAAATTCTACTTAAAAACTAACGACGAAGATTATTTAAAAAAAAAAAAAATTTTTTTTCAATAATCCTTTTTTTATCACATAAATGGATTTTTACTTTTATTTAATTCTCGGTTTAATTTTATTTTTCTACTATATACGTAGAATTTATAAATCTCCTAAAGGATTGGAATTCATTCCAACAGTATCTTTTTTAAAACTTTTGTTACTTGTACTTTTTAAAGATCAATATGAAATTCAAAATCTTATTCGTGAATCGGATCCTCATAAAATTGGCTTAGTAAAAGTTGGTAAACTTTTAACTTTATTCTATTAATAAAAATCATTATAAAATTATCTTAATACTTTCTTCAATGTTTTTTTTTTTTTT